TATGCCTGATATAGCGGTGTTACATGGTAGAGTGGAGGCCTTAATTAGCACATACAAGGCAGATGTGAATGCCTTTGTGGTAGGTGATAATGTGTCTCTTATTTTTGACCCAGCCGAGTTCTGTGTAACGATGGGGCTTCGACAGGGCGGTCTAAGCGTAGACTTAGACCTTTCTTTAGATTCGAAAGCCCTATTCGAAGGTTGGGGTCGAGCAGGTCAAAAATTTTTAAAAAGAAAGCATGTAGTAGATTTGTTACAAAAGTTTTCTTCTGATGAAAGTCGTATAGACGACTTTATCAGAATGTATAGTTTGTTAGTTTTTAGTTGTATTTTGTTTCCTTGCTCGAGTTACTCGATCCCCAGGTTTGTTTACCCTTACCTGGAGGATGTGAGTCGAATTTGTGAGTATGCATGGGGAGATGCGACTCATAAATTCTTGCTTGCAGCGCTTGTTCGCCACGGTGATTCAACAGACCGAGCTTACTTTGACGGATGTGTGGTTGGGCTGATGGTATGTATATTCAATGTCGTAATACAATAATATTAAATTGTGAGATTGTATAATTTTGACATCATGTGTATGTGTGTAGGCTTGGTTGTACGAACGTGTGCCTTCTCTGGGCAAACGTTCGACGCTCGAGGCAATTCCCCGTCTATTTCGATGGACGGGGAGCACAATGCCGTCTACATTTCAAGGGTCTTTACATTCCCTTAAAAAAATAATGAGGCATAAGGTAATTTATATAAACTTATAATATGTGTTTTGTACTTCTTCTTTTTATCTTTTTGGTTAATCGATTTTGTACCTAAATCATTATGATTTTGCTTTGCAGGTGTACTCGATATCGCCTGTTATGGAAGAGCGTGCGTTTGTGGAAGCCCAGGTTTTCCTTTAATTTTTGTCCAGAATTTGTGTTTTAGCATTAGGTACAAGGGACCTTTTAATTTATTTTTTCTTTCTAATTTCTGTTTTCTTTCATGTACAGGGACCTTTTGAGAGCAGGTTGTTTGCCATGGTTTGTCTTGAGAACGACAAACTTAGAAAACAAATTGAATTGTTGGAGTCTCAATGGAGAGAAAGAAAGAATGAAGAAAAAGAAAGAGAGGAAAAAAGTGAGGAAAATGAGGCTGATGGTGGTGATGGTGTTTGTTTTGCTGAGGAAAAAGAGGAGGAAAACAGGAGGAAATAGAGGAGGAAAGAGAGGAGGAGGAAAGAGATGAGGAGGAAAAACAGTGCGATGAAAAGGAGGAGGAAAAAGAGTGTGATGAAAAAGAGGAGGAAAAGAAGGAGGAACGATGGGCTCTGATGATTGTTGAGAAAGAACCTGTTGTGGATGACAATGAAGATGTGGCTGAGTGTGATAACTTGGACTGACTTGTAAACCTGTTAGTCGAGGATGCTGGTTTGATGGAGGGATCGGATGCTGGTTTGATAAAGGGGTCGGCTGCTGGTTCGAGGGTGGAGGAGAAACAACAACCCTCCTCAATGGTGAAGAGGGTTCGGGAGAGGGAAGGGAGGAAGAAGACGACGAAGCCGGTGGATTTTATGACCCCTCCGTCATCCGGTCCGAAGAGGCAGAAGAGGCAAAGAAGGCAGAAGAAAGAAAAAAAAAAAAAAGCAAGAGCACTTGGTGACCTTGGATGATGATGAGGTAATTAAACTAGCAATTTTATGTTTGTAATTCATTTGATTATTCGTGTTGTCTTCATATAAGTAACTATTTTGTAATGTATGAGAGTAACAAGAATGACGACGATGAGGATTGTTTGCTGAATGAATACAGAGGCAGAGAGGATTTCTGCGGACACGGGGTTGTCCCGGAAGAGGATGTTGCAGTCATCCAGTCGTTTTTGGCAAGCGATCAATTGAGGTAACCGAAATGACGTTAATTATTTAAATTTTTATTATATCATACTAATTTAAATTACAAATTTTGGTAGCAAAATTGTGTGGAGCAATGACCGAGTTGTGGTCCGAGGGAAATTGATGTGCTCTCTTTTGTTCGGGTCGGAGTTGAATTCGTCACTCATTGATTGCTATATGACTATCCTG